ACCGGCTCCTGCCGGTTCAAGATTTGGGCCACCAACTCGAAAGAAGCGACCGTCCAGGCGCTCGAACTGGGCAGCATGGCGCTGTCGAGCAGAGAGAGAGAGGTGTCATGGGCGCGCCTAAGAGGTAATTACAAAGTGGAAAGTTTAAATGAGTCTGTGAGCAGCAAAGCATTGCTAATTTAAATCGAAAACCCCCGATAGAACTGATCAAAATTATATAATGTGGAACATAATAAAAATCGTTTGGATCAAATGAATACCTGCGCTAGATTAAAGCAAACGATATCCTTTCAAACTATATATTAGGATAAAAATAAGCAAATTTTAGATCGCGACAAGACTGTGGCTGTGCCACTTGGAAGATGAGCTGTCAGTTGGAAGACAAGCTACTGTCTGTTGGCATGACCATATGATAAGGTAGAACTGGCTGGTGGTTGACGAGTAGGTACCCTTTATGTCGAAAGGGTTGAAGGAGCCAGCACATCTTTAAAGTGTACGGAAGAAATGATAGCGTGCAAAATACGTATAAAAGACAATAATTTGACCGATAGAAAGAGCGTTTAAGACCTCTTTTACAATCCTATCGGTCCATAGTTATAAGAAACGTAATATTCATTCTTTTATCGTCTCCAGGAGAAGGCTTCTGAGTTCCATGCAAAATCCGACGCCAATTCGTGAGATGAAACCATCGCCACACCAAAAAAGCACTTTTTCTTCTGACTTTGATTTAAATATGAGATATACATATTGCATTCAAGCTGAAGAGCACCAAGAAACTAGATATTTTATGTTAATATTCTAGATCACGGATCTATGTTGGAATCAGTAGTATTCGCAGTCACTGTCTTCGTTGCTATTCTCCTCATCACTGCTGTTTGCCGCCATGTCTTCGAGCATATCGTAGAAAGCCATGTCGTCATCGTCGAAATTCTTTGCGTTGAAAAAGAGGAACACCAAGTTCTCGACAGAGGCGTTCCTAAGGCGGTTCCGAACTTGGGAGTGCACGAACTTGTGCGCTGACCAATTGCGCTCCGCTGCCGCGCTAGAACAACTGGAGGCAAAAGTCGTTAAGGCGATGCCTTGCAACAGCGGAAACTCAGAGAGACCCTACCAGTATTGGCGCACAGTCAACTGTTTTTCCGCAATGAGTCGCGCTTCCACAGAAGTGTCGCGCGAGCCGCCAAGGAACTTCACGAGCTCTACCATCGTGTCGTTCTCCCGATCGACCCCGTGCCACATTCCGATGAAGTATTTGACACTTCCCCGCGTTTCTTCATCCATACCCTTTCCAAGGTAGCGAGGATCCAACATGTACCCCACGCCGTGTAAATGAAGTTGAAGCGTTCGTCGAGAATCTGTTGAATCTTGCCCAGCTAGGAGATCGGCATCTCCAGCTTGCGGAACTCTTCTGGTAGAGTGAGGAATATGTGGTAAATGTCGGATGGAGGCTTGATGTTCTTCTCAAACGCTTTTTCGAACTTGGAGATGACTTCCAGCAGCTTGATCGCATTTTCCACCTACTTGACAAAGTCTTTTGCCACCACCGTGTTATTCGCGTGACGTCGCTTGGCTTTCTGCTCCTTGGTACAATTGCGGAGAAATCCCCGTGACGAGACAAATGCATGTAGAATCATCTCCGAATCGCGAATGGTCGAAAAACACCGCTCGATAGCTCCCCAACGCGTATCCGCTGTGTAACGGGGTTATGTGGCGAAGCGCGGTGAACACTCTGCCGACAAAGGGGCGTATAGTGAGACCCGGACTTGGGGGTCAACTTCTAGGATGTTAACACCAGAAATAACCCG